ATCACTAAGTTTTTGCACAAAACACAGCAATTAAATACCTTAAATAAATAAAACAGCAGATAACCTGTAGTGTGTCTAAAACAAAAAGGGGATATGACCTGGGACACTGCTAATTCTTCCATCACTAATAATTAGAAAAGGATTGCATTCAATTACTGTTAATATCTCTCAAGTTATCTATGGCCAATAATATACATGGAGGTAATTTGTAGTTCAAGTTTTTTTGTGTGTTTTTTTCTTCAACTAGCTACACGCCAAGTTCTAAATTTTACACTCAAATATGACTCAAATTTAAAACAAGCCCTCTTAGAGGAGCATTTCCTAATTTTGTGCAACTTTGATGCAGAGCCCAACACAGTCCTATGAAGAGAGACAGTGCATCTTTAAGCTGATTGGCACTGAAATCCCATTTCCTTTAGCTGCATTCTATCAGCTTGGCCAAGTTATCTCGTAATTCTGTTAGTTCAAATATTTTTCCATCAAGAATTTCTAAAAGTGTCTTCAAGTTATTGCGAAAAGCTTCTTGCTCATTCTGACTTTTCTCCAGACGTTGCTCTAGATCAGACAGCTGTCCTTCCAGGTCTTTGTTTCGAATTTCTACTTCCTTCAGAGAAAATACATAATATGTTAATGTGTTATCTGTAAACAGTCTAACCTTCTGCTGGCATTCATGTGCTACTTTGTCTATTCTGTTTTTTAAAAGAATTTGTGATCCTTCAAGGTTTCCACTAAACCAAAATCAGAATATGAATTTTTGTTAGGATGAAATCTGTACTCTCAGGAGTAACTCATTTCTTCCATTTTTCCATTAATTTCCATGAATTCATCTAAAGAACAGAAACTTTCAGATATGGATAAAACTATTTAGTCAGTGACTTGCTCAAGGGCATAGTCAATATTAATTGGTCTCACAACTCACAAACATCACTGCTTTATATGGAAACAAGTACTGCCTTAGTACTGTGTGCCTTTTCACACTGAAAATTAAGACTGAAATACAAACTAGCTATACTTGATCACAAGGTGAAATCAATTATATCAAATTTAAAAGAGCAAACACCAGCTGAATATCTTGTCTTGTCAGGTTAGGTCTTTCAAAGTTCCTCTGCTCTGAAGCACCAGTCTGCAATGTCTGTAACACAACAGCTGCCGACGCACTGAGAGCATGTGAATTAATAGTGAGCTTCTGTACGTACAGGCTGCTTTAAAGTAACATGTGCAAAGATGAAGCAGCAGCACTCGGGAGGCAGCCGCTGGGATGTGACACGGAGCAAGTTCTGCTCTCTTTCATGAGGAAGAGGAGCCCATGACCGCAGTAACTGCACAGCGCCACTTCGCCCCGCGCCAGCTCGGACGCGGGGGAGAGCTCTGTGCTGGGGCCACTCGCAATGCTGCGTTGGGTATGAAGGAGAAGTGAGGCTACAGCTGCTCTCATTTATGTCTCCTCTCTATGCAGATTACCAATATAGCTGGTCTGGAACAGCATACCAGTTTTTGTAGTTGCACTTGTTGTACATTTCTTAATTTCATAATGAATTTTCTAATTTCAGTTATGAAAAGCACTTGCAAAGACAGCACAGGGACTGTGCTCTTACTATGTCATATACTCTGAGCAGTCATCTTCTTGAGATGTCCATAATAAATTAGTATTTATGTACATTAACATTTTTTAATCACCACTTACCTTTATAGCTGCCCTTTGTGCCACAAATGACTACTATAAAATTGTATTTGGATCTCTTAATGGTGCTGCTATGAGCTTTTACAACAACTTGTTTCATTCAGGCACTAGAGAGGGCTATTTGGCATTCTGTTGCCACTGTTTCCTCCTGCTATGAACAACTCTCCCTTCTGGCCTCCTGCTCTTCTACTGTTACAATTATTTTATTCTTCTCTCTTCCTCAAAGTGAATGCACAAATTAACACTGGAGTACATCGCAGGAGACACCCTGACCCATAGGGAATATGTATTGGGACAGTCTGTATTTGACAAATGTAAAAAGGCAGCTTGGTGCCAAAGTCAGTTGCCTAAAATGTATTTCTACTCGCAAGGGGTGAGATGGCAGTGTTGATTTGCTCCTGTACCTCTGGTCAGATGAACAGTAAGGCGACATGACCAATGCCCTGTGCTGGTTCCCAGTGCCCATCACAGGGGTGAACTCTGGGACCCGGCAGGTGGAAAAGGCAGAAACCATCAGAAAATCATAAAAGAGCCAGGGAGCACAACCCTTAGAGCCGTGGTGAGACTAAGAGCCAGACCTGATTTCCTCCTGCCCATGAATCCTAGTAGAGTCAAGAGTTACATCCAAATTAATCTAGAATATTTAATTTGCTTCTCATTTGGAAATGGGCTAGTTAAAAATCACTGAGTCTTGATCACTGGTCTTGAGCAGCACAACTGAAAGGAGGAATTGCCTCTTGCTTTCAGGTTCAACAAAAGAATTACTTTAATTAGTTTAACATGGAATAACATAGTTGTGGATGCATTAAAAGAAACTTATCAAAAAAGAAGCAACTTAAGTTAAAATACATTTACTTCCATAATGAATAAGTAGCCCACAGTGGCTATAAGTGACTGATTGCAGCTGAGTTGATATCTCCTGCAGGTTCTCCTCCACTGGGCCAACTCTTGCACTTCAAATTGAGTATTAGACAAGCCCTAAATTGACTGCACAAAATCAAGATCCACGGTGGCATAATAACTGTAGCCGAGGACAAAAGGGGAAATTTAGGGGAATGTCAGCCCTGTAATAATGAGTCATTCTCTTTTTTAGCCACACATTACTGATTGCTGTTTACCTTCCCTCAGGCTTCCTACTTCTCCTGTCAGTGCTCCTCTTCTCCTCACCAACCTTATATGCCTGAGAGTTCTCCTGGCCACCGTTCTTAAACAAGGAATAATTACTTGCTCTAAGTAGGGAAGCCACTGATAAATGGGATTATTTTGCAACAAATCCATGGATATGAACATTTTATTTAGTGGCACACACACCATCTTGGTCTGAATAACAGCATTCAGACCAACATTGCCCTGTATCTAGCACTGAACATCATCTTTCCCTCCATAAATGCTTTTAAACTTAGGAATTGCTCTGCTTTGAGGTTTTAGGGTAACAGCATCCACGTTAAAAAAAATACAAAAAAAAGAGCTTTATTCTAAATCTAGTAAGTTCCTTATCCATATCCAGCATAAGGCTTTTCCTTCTAATTCTCCAATTGTATTGCTTGTTCCATGTCCTTCCAACTATATGAGCTCCTTTCTTCTCTTTGCATTTCATAGAATCACAGAATGTTTAAGGTTGGAAGGGACCTCTAGAGGTCATCTAGTCCAACCTCCTGCACACGCAGGGTCACCTAGAGCACGTGGCACAGGACAATTTCCAGTTTGTGTATGCCTGTAGCAGTTTATATTCCATAGTTAACTAGTTAAAGGAAGTAGGACTAACTGAAATATGCCCTAAGTTTTTGCTCCTAACTTCTGGAAAATTCCAATTTCTACATCAGATCCTTACACACATGTATCCCAGATTAGTACTAGTGACCTTTGCAATGGCATTGCATTACAAGTTCATACCCAGTTCATGTGCAGTCTACTATCACAAGTCATTCAGCTTCAAAACTGTTAATTTTTGATGGGAAGCAATGAAGAGCTGTTCAGGCAGTGTATTCTGTTCCTCCACTTTTGTCATTTCATTTTATTTGCTACTAATCTTGGATAATAATCTACTCTTCTAATAGCTTCAGTGTCTTTAGAAGATTTATTTTATGCTGTTTTGCTCAGACTTCTCTGTGGACATCATTTCTTGTATGTACATTTCCTGTATATTTTCTTCATTTAGAAGAGACATAAATTGTTAGGAAATTTGTTGTTTTTTACACTGTAATAAGTTCTTGTAAAAATATACACGATAGCTATGTTTTGGAATCTGCCCTGATTCATGGAGAGTCATACTGCTCATGACTCACTGATATGTGCCTTCTCTGCGCTGCTAATGAAATTCTTAGGGAACAAGGGCCTCAATCACCTTTCCTGTGATAACATACTGCTCCTCACTGGAGTTTACCAATGATGGGTTTCTAATTCATTGTCTTATACGCGTGTGTCAGAAATGTAGTACATCTTGAGATAATAGTTTCTTTGTATAGTGGTCTTCATACAGGCTGAATTCTAAAATATTTTTAGAGTTACGTAATCTATTTTCAAACACAAGAGGGAAAAGTAAAGCCTAAGAAAATAAGAGGAGGATGAATAGATATGGACCCTGGAGACAACCACTCTGAAAACAAATGATGAGTTAACTAAGTGCACAGATGTGGGATGGTTGTCTAAAGCTATAGAATGAAACGCTACTGCCCAGACAGTACAGATAGAGGGGAAAGTGGCTCAGACAGGGCCGGCGTTACCAAAGCAGAAAGAATACAAAATGCAAGGTCTTCTGTAGTGGCTGCCTCGGGACAGTAATAAAACTTTAAGATGAAGAAAGACAATTTTTAGCTTGGATCTGACAGCTTTAAACTTTTTCTGCATAGAAGCATTTTGAAAAATTATTACTTACAATGTAACATATGGACATGCATACACACTATGCTCACTTCGCTAAGAAAGATATAAATATACAAAAAAAAGCCACCGGACTCTGTAAAGTATAATTTTTAACAAAGACTTAAAATTTTCTAATTCTAAAACCTCTTTAATGTTTTACTACTCTCATAATTCTGCTTGCTAAAGACGGCTGGTTCCCAGCTCATTACTACATTTCTTGTGATCTTCTACTGCATTTATTGTATATGCTACTGTTAGATGAATTTCCAGCTTTTCCCTTTTGGAATCTCTCAAATAAGTTCCCTTGCATCAGAAAGCTTCCATGCTTGCTCAAAAGCCGGCAACAATTTTCAGAAATGTTAGACCAGGGTAGCTCAGATATACTGAAAATAGTCTTTAAAGAAACACCATCATAACACACTAAGAACATGGAAAAATGATTTACTCATTTTATGCTTATATGGTTTATTTTGAGGGATAAAATGAGATTCAAGGAAGTCTGAATTTACAAAATTGGTTTAAAAGGAAATCTGCATAATAGTTTGGTCTGATGAAGCTTGTTTTTAGCATGATTTAGGTCACTGGAACAAGGCTGGTCATCTTTAAACACTTCAGATTTCAAATTACTTAATCCCTGAGTTTCCAGCTGTGTCATAACTCTAAAGTCTGAACACAGAGTTTAAAGTCATCTAAATTTGGGGCCAGAAGGCTGGTGTTTCCCAAAGAAGGCATGTCTGTGTTGGCTAGTTAGCCCAGTTGCTAAAGGAGAAGGGGGGGGGGTTCAGCTGTACTGACTCATGGCGAGGAAGGCTGTGTACGCTGTTTCTTGTAGGCTAAGTTGTCTAGCTTTGCACACAGACAAAAAGCAACCCAGAACAACAAGGAAAACAAAATGATTCTAAGTAATTCCAAGAAAATGTCAGATTTGGCTTTTAAAGCCTGTATTACGCAAGAACACTTTAACCTTTACCTTCTCAGCCTATGTTTAAAAGCTAACTACAGACTCATTCCAACAGATGATACAATGCCTGACAGCTCAGTGGCACACCAGACCTGCGGGAACAACACTACTGTGAAAGTGAGATCCAAACTGCCCAGAATATGTATTAATGAAGGACACGTGCTAATAAGAGAACATTCTGTGGAATTTTAAATGAGATTGGAGATTCTTTCCTCAAGAAAAAAATATCACCTTGTAACAGGTGGAAACTGTATTACAAGTATGAGAGGAGCATCTTGCTGCAACGCTTTGCAACACAATTGAACTTATTTATCTGGCAACATCAGTAAAGAGACTATCAGCTGTTCATGTGAACTGCTCACTTGTTGATCATTTTTCCCTTCTAACTAAATTAGTACAATGCCCTGTAGCTCACCTGTAACTTCTGGGTCAGAGAATCCCTCTGTGCCTGGAGCTCTCTGGCATTGTCGATTTCTTGTTTCAATCTTTCTATTTCCTGGGGGAGAAGGAAAGATCTCTTTAACAACACCTTAGCTGATACAGCTCAGCACAGGTAGCTCCTGCTCGTGCTTCTCCTGAGCAAACCACTCCAGCGACACCAAAACGGCTATTGCCTAACGTGGCACAGGAAGATTAAGTTCTGCTCCCCATATTCTTGCATCTCAGTCCCAAAAGAACAGTATCATTACTATAAAAGCCCAAGACTCACTCCCACACTTTTTTTTTTTGGTGGAAAATTAAGAGTGCTCATAATTACAAAAACAATTTTATACTTTAAATTCTGTTTTAATCTACCCTTAAGGATCTTTCTCCAGCCAAAAATCCAATTTTCATCTGTGACCTATTATGTCACTAGCAATGGGACTGAGTATAAATAAACATTGTCTGTTTTGATTTCTATAAAAGGAGTCTAAAATGAACATTATTTTTAATTTAGGAAGCAGAAAGTAACAAGGCAGAAAAACAAACTATAGGAAATAATGAGTAACGGAAGAGAACTTTGCGTGGCTTACCTTGAAGAGAAAAGAATAAAAACAGCTTATGAAACTAAAAAGCTAGTAAGTACTTTCCCAAAGACGAGTATGTTTAAGTCCTAGAACTTATTTCTGAAAGATATCTTTGCATCCAACAGCTCAGCTTCATTCAAAATAGCACCAATACTGGGAACATTCATACCCAGATACTAATCTCTTAAGTGTGAGGGAGTCTGGAGAAGGCTTTTCATTTTGGGAGGAAATTCTTTACAATCACTGTGTTTCCTGAATCCTCCTCGGAAACAGCAACCTAACAGTCTGTATTGGAGACAAGAAGTACATACAGACATGCTGCTCATCTGAACAAACATATCAATACCTGCTGTGATTCCAAAAAAGTAAGAATAAATGTTAGCAAATACCTCTTCTTTTTTCTTCAGTGTAGATTCTAACTCCTGTATTGTCTGGTTTAATTCTGTTTTATGTGTGTGGACTGCATTGGCTTGACTGCTCACACACTCTAACTCCGTCACCTGTTGAAATAAGGAGAAGCAAGACATACAGAATTGACAGAAAGAATTTCAAGGTACTATCACTTCTTTGGATAAATAGCTGCATTTGAAAAAAAAAAAAAAAACATTAATTCTGAGTGGCATACATCTATTAAACTGATGAGGATGTTTCTATGAAGTTAGCGTAAAATTCCTTAATAAATTGTTTTGCATAAAATGGTTGTTATGACTTCTAATGTTTACTGTAATATCCTGGAAAGGATATACTTAATATGTTGCTGTATAAAAGCACATTAATCAAAAGTTATACTTATTAATTGTTGAAAATTTTATGGAAGAAGCTGAATTACCATTTCAGAACCAGCAATGCCTAAATGATTAACCATGCATCTGTCAGTCTAACTAGCCTCTCCGACACTTTTTAATGTTGCACCATCTTAATAAATGAAGCCACAACGCTCACTCGCTTCCTAGCAAGCCAATTAACATTTCACAGACTCAATTTCTGACTCTGCATCCACAATGTAACAGCAGATACTTAGTTACCAGTGTACAGCTGCCAACTTCTTTCTTATCTAGTTCCATATCTGTTCACTCAGTCACAAAACCAGCAGCTAATGGCACAATTTGGACTTGTACAATTCCTGTTTATTAGCAGGCAGCACACTATCTTCATCTGCCCTTGGAGAAGATAACATACCTGGCAGTGGCATGCTCTTTTATTTTTTAAGTCTTTTATTTTTTAACTGAAGAGATGTTAAAGTCTGTTATTCACAGAAAAATGGTCATCAAAAAATAGCTTGTGCACCAGTGAAATGCAATTCATGCTTATGTAGAAAAATCTTTGTTCATGTACCTCTCCAACTACAGATAAAAATATTAAGTATTTTCACACCACAGGTCTGCATGAATGTCTGCAATAAAAGTCTTGTTTAATAACAAACTGTCAAACTAGTATGAATACTACTATTTAAAACCAAATACCTCTTTTTTTCCCCCCAGAATATATGTGCCTCTCAATCTCAGCAGCATCTGTCTACAGAAACAAACAAATCTGACCCCAAACTTTTTTGAATAAAGTGCATTATTGTGCTACCCAGTTCTGCAACCAAAAAGCCTTTAGGTCTTCATTTAATTTCTTTAGAGAAGGAGCCCTTAGGCGTGCATACAGCAGGTATTCTCCATGGTAATTTTCTTTCTTAGAGCACAAACACCATCTTGAGGAATGAAGGTTGGTGCACTCCATGCAGCTAAGGAAGCCACTGTGATGACAGTGATTTCAGACTCCAACCTCTTTGTGAGCTCCAAAGGGAGATTACTGTGAGGAAATGTCAAGATGAAATACGAGAAAATGAAAACAAAATCCCTACCAGCTTCTCCTTGCTGAGATATGGGGTATAAACCTCCCCACTGTAATGGCCATGACTAGTCTAATTTCTTCTACTGGAAAACTCATTAGGCTTACAAATTAAGATTATAGCAAATTCTCAGGAGGGATAAGGAGAATAATTTGCTACAAAAAAACCCAACTACCTTATTTGCTTGGAATTGTCCCAAAAGGAACAATATCTGTGCTCCCAGAAAAGAGTAACAGCAGTCAGTTGAGTTTTATATGACACTGCACATTCTCGCTACCTAGCTCAGGATCTCAGATCATTCTCTCAATTTGTTTAAACACAGACATATCAATTTAGATTTTGTGACTGATACCAATAGAAATATTTCACTGCTGTAATTACACAAAAACAAACAAGCGGAATTGCACTACGCAGACTGGGATAAATCTCTGGCTAAACAGTGTTTGAACCAACATCCAGAGACACAACCGGAATCAGAGAATTGCTGAATAATTTAGCCCGGAAGGGAGGGACTTAGCCTGAAGGTCACCTGGTCCAACCCACTGTGCAAAGTGGGGTCAAATTTGAAGCCAGAGTCCTTTACCTTCATCCCGAGGTGCCCACACGCACATGTAGATCCCCCCATCCTGCCCTGGGCACATGGTGCCCTAGCTCATTCCTACGCTTTGGAGCTCTCAAACTGCATCCCTGCTTGAGATTGACCTGTTAGACCTCTTCTGCTGAAATGAGTCTCAAGTTAAAGGCAGAAGCCTCTGTAAATCCAGACTTAGTGTTGGAAAGCTAGGTTCGAGCCCTCTTCTACCTGTTAAGTAAGACAGATTGGAAAAGAAGCAAGCTAACTCTTGTTACCCTCAACAAATTCTGACTTGGGGACACACTGCAAGCCCCACATAGCTTAATCTCTTGGTCCAACATGTGGCACATAGCATGTTGGTCTTGGCAGGCACTGGCAGAGTGAATGCTCCTTTACACAAAGTGGAATAACTTAAGCAGGATGGACAGGGAAAACCCAGTCCCTCAACCACCTATGTGCTTGGGTCTAGTCTCTGACGTGTGGCAAAGGACGAGCTTGGACCTCACCGATCTCTGCGGTGTTTTCATCCAGGCTGGTTCCAACAGCAAGGACGCACATGCACCAACAGCACAGAGGGAAGCACCCTCCATCGGAAGGGCCTTTAATTACCCCTGGTTAAACAGGCTGGCAAGCCTTACACTGTTTTCCCCAGGCAGACAGCCACCTCTCACTGCTTATGAAAGAAAATAATGTGCTGTTCAACTATTTTGTCCCCTGTTCATTGAAAAATCAGTAACTTGAAAGAAAAAAGAAATCAATTAAAAACAAGTTTATTTTAACCACAGTCTTATTTAAATGCCCGTTCCTACAGAGTTTCCAAAAGATTTCAAATATCTTCATCATGTTCTCTTCCTGAATGTCTCTATAAAGGAGAACAATGTATTGTGACCCTTTCAAAGAATCTGTGCACTAAGATGGGTTAGAAAATGATGCAACATAACGAATGTGCGATTGAAAACAGAAGTAACAAAAGATAAAGCTCTAGGCAAAAATCTGGATTGCTTTTACTTGCTCTATTTACTTTGTTTCAAATTGAACTTATTATTCTCATGACTAGCAGTCCAAAAATCATTAAAAATAATTGTTTATACATTACACACAGGAGATGGTATAAAATGAAGCTAAAAAGCTTTAGTTGACCCCCCCAGCTGCTATTTTCTGGGACATCGTCTCATTCATTTTTTCATGTTGAATAGCAAGGCTCCATCAATCATTCAAGCATTTTCACAGCAACAGTAAGGAAAGTAAATGTGATTAAGCCTTGTTTCCAGTACAGAACTTGGACTGAAAAAACAGTCTTTGAACAATAACTGAGGCAAAGATTTAAAAAGACTGTTGTTTTGTGCTATTATAAGACTGCACTGACTTGCATATCCAAAATACTCAGTACTGTGCCTTCATATTTGAGGGGGAAAAAAAGGATTGTTCATTCTGCTTCTATTTCTTGGTTTTGTTTTTTCATTTTGCATTTAGTATCCAAGGATGGATTGTATGAAAGGAAAGAAAGTCTGAAAAGGTTTTTCGGTAACTATTAAATGAGCTAATTCTTCCAGTATACGGCCATTATTATGTTTAACTGCATACTTCAGTGAGAAACATAAGACAGCCAAAACAGGACAGTAAGCCAACTTGATCTGGCAAAGCCTAAAATCTTCTCTATTGTGGCTATACCAGAATTTATGGAATTTTTCATCCGGGCCATCAGCCTATAAATATAGGAGAAGGCCAGCGAGAGGTTTTCACTGCAGCATGCAGCTAGCATACGCAAGCTACTAAGAAGACTGGAGGAGGAGGGAGGCCTTGGACCATGTAATAGAACTCAAAAAAAAAGCAGCTTCGATATGAGCTTAAGACAGGGACAGCACAAGTGTTTCAGAAGACTGAAGAATCGTTCAAAGAAAACAAACCAAATCAAAACACAAAGAAAGAAAGGGAAGAAATTGTATCAAATCCCTGCACAAATGACTGCTCAACAACTGAAGAGTTTGGTTAGACAGAGGCAAAGAAGAAATGGGAACGACAAACATATGAAGAGTGGCCTCCTTCCCAGCACAACGACTGCCTGAATGAATCTGAGCTATTTTTGCTGCAGGTCATTTCATTTTCTCAAACCATTTGCTTGAGACCAATTTATGCACTTCTGTTCTCAAACAGTAATATGTTTTATTTGGTATCTTAAATTCAATAACAACACATCATAAATTTCTTACTAAACTTCATGCAGGAATTACGTCAACTATCACAGAAATGCAAAGAAGGAAAGGTTGAACTGCATTTTCAGCAGAGCTTTGACCCCACCTTATGCTGCTAACGTGTTCTCATCCTAAAGATAGATTTATCCCTTGTACCTATTGTGGAACACCATATCAGGAGCCCACTGACCCAGACTACAGCGCAGAACACAGAGCTCAATGTGCAAGACTGAATGCATATATTAATTATGCACTTTTAGCTAGTTCAGTTACATCCCTAAATGTTTCCAAACTATTACTGCAATAAAAATATTGCATCAGTAATTCAAAACATACCCCCTACAAGCCTTTTCTACAATGAGAAGAGAAATGATGTTGCATGGCTCGGCAAATCTAGGAAAAACTGCATAAAGGTTTTGTGATTTATGCAGAAGCTTCTCAGTTCTTCATAGTGGATAGTGAGACACAAGACAGCAGTCCAAAAAACCTAATCAGAAAAATAATACCAGTATAGCTTAAAAAAAAAACTAGAAAGATTTTTGGTGCTAAGAAATGTGAAAATGCAGGAAACAAGGAAAATTGCTTTTCAAGGTTGCTGCTGAAAGAACAAAAAGTGCACCACAGTATTATTCATATACATCATTTCTGACAAATGAAATATTGTAGTTTTCCAAGATTTACCCATAGATAAATGATAACCTGAGGGTAGGGGCAAGTTTTGTACATTACCAATCATACATTTCTCTTTTGAACTGAGAAAACAATTAAAAGATTTTGCTGCAAAGGACACATTTTCCTCTGTGGGCACTGATGCCTCAAGCCATGGAAATACCAAAATGTTTTCCATAGTTATTCATTACTATAGAGATGAAAGAGGAATAATCCATCATCTGTCTG